CATCATAACAGCTAAATGACAGAAAAAAACAATCTGCCGTTTTTTGGACATGTACGATTTTTCCACCATAAAATTGGCATGCCCGTGAGTATTACATCTGTAATATGTTACTGGCTTCTTAATGTGTTCTTTAGATGGATTCAAATACCTCTTCCTTCTATCACAGTAAGTGTCTGGCACCATGGTTCCATTCCGGTTCTGACACACAATGTGCCGATGTTGTAAGCCCATTCCTTGTCCGGTGCAGCGATTAAAACACTGAAAGGAAAGACAATGTTCAGAGTGAATACAAGATCATTCGTATTCTTTCTGACTAGCTTAAACCGGATCATACACATATCTTACATCTGGATGGATATTTAAAAGGTAATGTAAGTCAATCAGTTTATTTCTGTGTCTTGAGCAACACTTAAAAACCTCAGAGTCTTCCCATCTGTACTTTCCAAGCACGATAATATTACCTTCTAAACCACAATACTGGAAGTACCATAGCTATATGATTACACAGTCCACGGAAATACATTCCAACTTGACAGGCTCTCCTGTTTAAGCAAATCCTTTAAGTTCAAATACCTGTTGTTGCCACCGTCTAACTCTCCAACATTGGTTGAGATTTATAACTTTGTACTGTTTTTTATCATTAATTTATATATTATGTATATTCTCTGTCGCATTTTTCAAACTGTAGATGTGCATTGCATGAACCTAAAGCATTAAAATGATAACATGTACAATATGTCATGTATTAATACTTGTATTGTTAAATCCCCTATATATCAATAAGGACCTTGCCAAAAATATTCACACTCAGACTCTCAGATAGATTGAGAAAATAAGGGAATAACTGAGGGCACATATGATGCAGAAGATAAAAAGAGTAAATTAAAATTTGATTTATTTTCCTGCTTTTTGAGCTGTGTGCCATGATTCCCTTACAGCCCTCATTTTCCCCAGAGCTTAGTGAATGCGGTGAAGCTCTGCTAATTTCCATCATTTAATCATGTGCAAGAAAAAATGCTTTTAAAAAAAAAAAAAATCCTTGCACCTGATAGGGTATTCTGTACAAAGTGAAGTGTCAGCACATTTACATTTATTACGGAAAATTAGTGCAACTGCACTTGCAAAATGTGCAGTCTATTTGCCTTTAGTAAATCAAGCCCTATGTGTCCAATAAAAGCATCTCCTGATGCTCATCTTTGGCAAGCACTACAATTATTATAGACAATACTGCCGTCTATTAAATTTTCGCCTGTCTTGGAAATTTCATAGATAGGTAACACCTATTTTAATATTGAAAAGTGGCTCCAAATTAATAATAACTACTGCAGCAGGGAACAGACACAAAAAGATACACCCAACATATTTCCAAATGAATGTTCTATATATCTGGCACATTTGATTTTTTTTTTATAATTATGCTTATGTAGATATCACAATAATACTAAAAATGTAGTTTGTACATAGGCGGGATAGTGAATGTGAGTGTGTGACAGAAGAGTTAGTATGATGCCAAGGCTATTGGTTGCAGTGGTCAAAGCATACAAAATTAAATAGATGCATACACGAAGTTTCAAATTTTTTTCACTCTGCAAACTACTATTATGAAAGCCTCTGGAGGAATGGGCAAGGCTTTCGACAGTGTGCCACACGGCCTATCTAGAGGCAGGTTGAAAAAGTAATCTCTGCTGCCTTTGTTGCATAGTTACACAGTTAGTGAGGTTGAAAAAAGACACTAGTCCATCTTGTTTAACCAACAGAAAAAACAGAGTTTGAAAAACCCCATATACACAATCTTATACCCACAGTTGATCCAGGGGATGGCACCCCTCCCCCCCAATAAAGCATGATCCAAATCACTTGAGTGGAGAACATAAATTCCTTCCTGATCCCCTGGGAGGCAATCACATATTCCATGGATCTACTACTCCTTGTGTTGTTGTGGTTTTTCCAACATGAAAGAAGGGACGGGTAACATAAAATAAATACAGAAATACTACAATAAAAACTGAAAAGATAAGGCAGTTTATTGGTCAGACTGGTTATAATTTAGCTAGAATGTAACTTTAAAATGTAGTTGTATTCCATTAAGGAGTTTCCTGCAGATCCCGCTGAAAGATGTATGTTTCTGTGGCATTCCATAATTGTTCTGACTTTTTACACACGTCTGTGGCAAGTCTGCTCTAAGCTCTGGCCTGTGTTTTTTAATTATATACAACCATCTACTAACAAAAGATGCATAATAGAAGCCAAGCTTTCTTACTCATGCACTGCCTTTGCCAAGGTGGTTTAACACTGTTACACATTGATGTTTGGATTGGTTCAGGTCCCTAATGAAAAAACACTATAATGAAAAACTTCTAAAGTAAATTTCGACACACATAAACATCTTGAATTGAACATTGTCTACAAGCTTTCAAGGTCAGCCATATGTTATTTTGTAAATGTCACTTTCTACAAGGTGTGAACATGCCATATTATTTGACGTTTGTATTAGATTAATGTATACAATTTTGATGGATTTAATCATTTTACCCAGGAAAAAAAAGCCAGGGACTAGGTGAGCTGCAAGACGAGGTGCAAAAACATCCACTTATGGGAAACTACGAGTCCCAGCACGCAGCAGGGCATTTATTGATCAAGAGTCCAGACCTAACTTGGTATTGAGCACAGATTATCCAGATTAAGCCACCTCTCAGGCCTCTAATTTAAAGTATCTGTGTTTATTTTTACAAGTGTACAAGTTTCTGCTCTATATTGTCATAGCTGTATTATCATACAAAGGTCTATAGATACTCCTTCAAGTGTCTACTTTATTACGTAGTGTTAACAACAACAAACTGTTGATTGCAGGATAAAGTACGTATATTGTCTTTTCATGCAGAAATAATGATGAGATTATAAAACAAGGCACATTCTATGCAGAATATTTGCTATAAAAGTAACACAAAAATATTTTAAAGGATAACTTCCGCTTTAGTGAAGTTGTCTTTTAATAAATCACCACCCCCTGAGAGCAGGTTACCTTGTGTAACACTTATCTTCCTCTTTGATCCTACAAAACATTCCTGGCCAAGTCCCCTAAAAACCGCATGCGTGCCGAAGCCCCATTCGTTGCTATTCATAAATTGTACTTCAAGGGAACACTGTTGGTCACCATGAGTATGGTTTATCCATAGAGATGAAATAGGCTGCAGCACCAAAACTTACTATGAGGAGTTGTCTTCAAGGACCATGTCGGAGAGAAGATAGCTGGAGCATGGACTGAAGGTAAGTTTTATCCTACGTGGGCCTCACTCAGCATGGAGGGGTATATATTAAAAGACAACTTTACTAAGGGTGAAGTTATCCTTTAAGAAAATCATTGAAAAAAACTCATATTATGTGCTTGCGAAGTATGCATACACCAAGTTGTGTGCCAAGATTTACAAATCCCATTAAAATCTGGAGGAAAGATAAGTGTGTGTTGGCCACAGCAGCAAATCAAATACCACCTGAATATCTCTTGTGCTGGTGTGAACATAAAAAAAAAATCTGGTTAATTACTGTTGACATTTATGCTACACAACTGTATCTCATTGAATTTTACCTGTCCCCAAGGTTGAGGAACCCAGTCAACACAGGCATCAGTCACACAAGGCTTCCTTGCCGCTGGTCGATTGGTGAGACCGCAGAAATTTAAAGCCAACACCTTTACATTACCATCTGCCGTTAGTTGCTGGCACGCCACTTGTCTGAGCTGGAATCCTGTGCCACAGGATGCAGAACATTCAGACCATGAACTCGTGGCCCATCTACAAAAATAATACATTACATCCTGTGAAAGGGCAACTCTAGCCAAATACACAGCTGAAATACACATACAGCAAATGTTTTATCAGGCAAAAGATTTGTAAAAGTAAAGTACAAATACTTGGGATCTATTCACCCCTGCAATTCTTTAACCAGTTGGCGTGCCTAAAAAAGGTACACAGTATGTGTGTAGTACATCCTGTCCTGCCTCTTCACATCTGCCAACTGTCAAAATGACAATGGTGGTTGCTGTGTAAATGCAACAGCTGTAGAACATCTGGCACAGCACCCTTGTCTTCTTCCCCCCTGCTCTTTCCCGGTCTCCCCTCTCTTCACCTACTCTCCTTGACCATATAGGAACCCCTCAGCATCCTCTGTCTATGAGGAGTAACCTTTAAAGGGGAACCTACCCAGCCTTTTACTGTCCTACAAGCTAAACAGGTTAAATTGCATGCAACTTCACTGTGGCTCTATCTGCTCTTTAAACTACTAATGAAAATATTATAGCAGAAAGTGTACAATGCCCCACTCTCAGAATGCTACACACATTTGGATATGAATGAAACATCTCAAGAGGTATGAAGGATATAATTCACATACCCCAATATGGAATTATAAATACTTTGAAGAATTTCATAAACTTTTGGGTTTTGATCTCTGGAATAAGCATAGGATCCAATATTTCAACCAATTATATGCCAAAAATGTTCTTAAATCCTTTCAAACACTACAAGTGGAATTTTCTCTCCTAAAACAAAAAATCTATCAATATGTACAGCTATGGCATGCCCTCATACTTGCAACATGGCAAAAAAATTGATCAAAACCTCAGCCCCTCTAATTACATTTCTAGCAACTACCATAGCAAAAAAAGGGGCCTTATTTCATATCTTTATGCTCCTGTTCACCAGGACAAATCTCAAAAAACACCCCTGCCATGCAAGATAGCATGGGAAAAAGATTTGGCCACCCTTTAACAGGAAGTCAGATCACAGCAGCAAAAAAAAGTAGATTTGGAGGAGGTGAAAATAAAAGGGTCTTTTCTCAGTTAAAAATAGATACTTGAATAGAAAATATTTTATAAACTAGAGTTTATTGTCATTTTACTTACACTATATTGTCAAAAGTATTGGGACACCCCTCCAAATAATTGGATTCAGGTGTTCCAATCACCTCCATGGCCACAGGTATATAAAATCAAGCACCTAGGCATGCAGACTGCTTCTACAAACATTTGTGAAAGAATGGATCACTCTCAGGAGCTCAGTGAATTCACGCGGGTACCGTGATAGGTTGCCACCTATGCATACGTGAAATTTCCTTGCTACTAAATATTCCTCTATACTCTAGAGCAGTGGTGAGGTGTTCTCTGGAGTGATGAATCACACCTCTCTGTCTGGCAATCTGATGGACGTGTCTGGGTTTGGCGGTTGCCAGGAGAAAGGTACTTGCCTGACTGCATTGTGCCAAGTGTAAAGTTTAGTGGAAGGGTGGGCCGACTCAATATCGAACCCTATGGACTAAGACTAGGGTGTCATTAAAGTTCATGTGTGTGTAAAGGCAGGCGTCCCAATACTTTTGGCAACATAGTGTATAGCCACTGCAAGAGTCAATTCACTTTTCTGTCGGCATGTGTTACTTAAATAAAAAAAAATTTAAAATAATTTACAATGAACTGAAAAAAAAATATCTTGTGACAGCATTTCTTTGTATATGCACAGTGAGAACATACACAGCAGGAATAGGTTTGTCTGCAAACAAATCTCACATGGTCACTGTCATAGCTGTCATTGTGATGATTTGATTGGAAATCACACTAAATTGTTTAACTGGGACTATATCGGAGAACTAGGACCATACAATGTGAGCTCTTATCTGTCAAATGGGGGTTGTAGATTAATGTTCTCTGGGGAAGCACGTGCCTGGGAATGTTAATTTACAGATTGTGGATGACATTGTTTTTGCTTTTTAATTAGATTATTTGCTTTGTATTCTAATTTATATTGCATTCTTGAATTGTGCCTGTGCCCAGACTATGCACACATATTTACAATGTTCTGAGGAAGCAATTAAAGCACTTTAAAACAGGCCATTATTCACCTCTATAGCTATAGGCATTGTGGAGAAATTCATCTTCAAAGTTCATAACACAGGCGGTGGAATAGCTCTCCTCCTATTATTGTCTTGGTAGTCTGCCAGCCATATGATTGAAACCTCACTTTGCATTCCACTCACAGCAAGTCCTTTGGGAGCATTGCGTTGGTGTGGTTTGTAAAAATGGGACATGTTGCATTTAAATGCAGAGCAACATGCTCCAATATGTTACAATTCATCACAGCTTGCTTTCACACATATAGACCAAAGAAAAATAATGCATTTTGGCTTCTGTTGTGAACAAGAAAATAACCTGTACATCCCCACAACGTGTTAAAAATGCACATCAGTACAACACGTTTAAAAAAGGATGTCAACATACATCAGCTCCAGTGAATTTAGCACACATCAACATGCACTAAATGCAACAGGATTGGCTTGTTTCCTGCCTTTGTTTTGATCTCCATGGATCTTTGAAAATAAATGATCACAGTACATGCAGCCAGAGAGGTCAGTGATGACTTGTATTTTACTGCTTGTCAAGAAAATGTAAAGGCTTTAATATCCATAGTCTAGGCACAGGTGCCCTTTAAGCTGTCTAGTTCATTTCAGCCTCTTTGCCTCCTTCTAGTTGAAGGGAGTGAAAGCAGAGGGAAATGACTTCACAAAGGGGAAGATATAGGGTGGAGCATTATTGATCTATAGAGCACCATATATTGCTGCTTTTGCAGAAAGCTAATTGTTCTGATGTACACAGAGGAAGAAAGAGGAAAGCCAACTGAGATAAGTAGCTTAAACAGACCAAGGTCAAGGTCCTAGAGCTTCCAGGATCTTGCTGCAGTTCCGGTATCTCTAAAATATAGGAGCTCAGCAGTAACATCAGCACGTCCAGAACAGGCTGGGAGGCTGTACAGGTTAGGGCTTCTGGAGCCCTCCCACCCTTCCAGAAACTTAAGAGAACTTTCTGGAAGAGGGGCAGAGGAAGGGAAAGAGGTCCAGATCTGCATGTTTGAGGGAACTTGGCCAATCCCCAGCCATGGAGGTCGGGCATAGTGATCAAGTACAACCTTTAAATATGATAGAGCTTGAGAAGGATAGTCAGGTGGAAGATGGATTGAGAGAAGGCTGGAGTGTGGAGCCTAGGAGGGGACCCCAGGGAAGGGTGCCTACCTACAGGCAGGATGCTGGAAAGGAGGATCTCTACCGCCCATGATTTCTTAGGGAGGAAATGCTGTGCAGCAGGGAAGGAGCTAGACCAGCTAAAGGCCTGAAAGCAGCTACCAACCCACTGACAGGACAGGACAGTGTGAGTACTCTTACACCCCCTGAGCCAGATAAAGGGAGAGGGTGGTCAGGTGCAAGACCCAACTAGCTCTCATCCGAAACTACTTCATTTGTTAGATTTTGGAATCCCTTGCCCAGGGATACCCTCAGTGCAGCCAGGTGAATAGGAAGGATTCATCTGGGGTCTCAGGAGTTACACCAAGGGGACTTCAGTGCTCCTTAAAGAGACAGTGCTATTTTTGCAGACCCACAATTTTGTACAGTGTACAGTTTGCTAAGACGTTTGTCCTCAAGTTTGCAGTTCCTTGGGCATCCCATTAACCCCCCAGACCCCATCCAAGTTATTAACACCTATAAATATATTATATTATCTTATGTACAGGATTGGTCCTGGAAGGCAGGTATGTTTCCCTGCTATTTGGGTTGTAGCCCATTTATGGGGACAGTTGGATAGCAGTTTGGGAGTACTCGAGCCTTCTCAGTCATGTAGGGTGAGGGGTCCACTTGGAAAGGGATAAACCAATTTACAGTTAGCCCAAGATTCTTAAGTCTTTATATTGAATACAGAGAATTGGGAGTTTCAGAGAGACTTTTGGGTGGGAATGAGTCTCCAATCCTGATTACAGGGATTTTGGTTCTGAAAGGGTTAACCAGCCTGCAGGGAAGACATAAAAGGAAGCAGGAAGGAGTCATCACCTGTCTGTGAGGTGGAGTACAGTAGTTCACAGGTGTGAAAGAGTGTAGACTGTCTTGCAACTGAGACATTGTTTTGTTGAGTTCCTGAAGCTTTTCCTGTGCCTTGAAGCAGAGGAGAAGCTTAATCCAAGTATGGGACTAGATAGTGAGTCATAGTATTATTTTCAATATATTTCAGTCATGGACCGTTTTGTGTCTACTGTACTTTGCTGAGGAAAGCTGTTGTGTTTTCCTTGCTCTGAAAAAACAATAAAGATGGTTTACTTTTACATGTGGCTGGCTGGTGATCCAGGGCTCCCCATATTATATTCATCATACATGTATCGCAACACCTGGAGAAAAAAGTCAGTGATCAAATTGCTGACCTTATTGGACAGTCCTGTATGTTACAAGGCTGAGGACTGGCTGCTAATGGCTGAAGATGTTCACACAATGAATTGTCCACCCTCTGTCCTTCGGAGTTGACACAGTGCTGCGTTCTGACTTGAGAGCCCATGTTTCCACATGATGTCGAGCAAGGTGTCCATTCACCATATTCTAGACTGTACACTGTAACAACATTTATTTGAGTTTAATACCATGCTGCAAATAAAATATAGTAATCAGAGAGCTTTTTCTGTTCTCCTCCTCCTAGAAGGCAACATGTAACTGGTTACCCATGTATTATTGCAGACTATTTCTCCTTGATTAAATTTGTTAGACAGCTCTAGTCATATTATTACTCAGTTAAGAAAGCTGCTACAAAAATTATTTTCTTGTGTTATTACTGTTCAGTTTTCCATTTCCTGTATTGTTTTTTCCCTGATGTCAAGTTTTACAAGCAAATGGCTACTACAAATTAAGCTAATCAAATAAAGTACTGCAAATGGCAAAGGCCAAATAACAGTACTCAACCAATAAGAATCCATGTTGTTCTGGTCTCCCTCCAATATAGTGATCTCTGACTGGTGGCTATAGGTTACTGCATTTTGCATCCCATGCTGTGTGATTGGTAAGCCTTTGTTGAAGCTTTTAAAGTGACCATCAGCTCCAGTTTGTAAATGTTGAACACAGATCCTAATGGGAGTGCTGATCATCACTTTAAATGAGCTACTAGCAGCCTTTTGTACTACTTGAAGCTTGTAGAAAGCCTGCTGAAGCCTGCTAGCACTTGTTTAAAGTGACAGTCAGCACTCCCATTAGAATTTATGTATAGTATTTCCAAACAGACACTTTAAAGACTTATGGAAAGCTGATTGAGGCTTCCCAAAAGCTTTACAAAATATTATTCAAAGTTTCATAAAAGCTTGATGATCGCACTGCTCTTATACAAGATAAATCCCTTGGGAAACTGGCCTTAAGGTGATATTAAAGGCAAGTTTAAAAAAATAATAACATACATGTTATACTCACCTGTGCTGTGCAGTGGTTTTCCCTCCTCCCCTCCCTCCTGCCGAGTGCACCCAGAGCAAACAGCTTGATATGGGGGCACCCAAGCAGGTTCGATTCCAAGCCGCTGCTTTGTGTGTCCATTCACACACACAGCTGGGGCTCTGCCCCGCCTCCACCCCCTCTTTTCTCATTGGCTCACTGGCTATGAGGAGGAAAAGTCCCCGGAGAGCTGAGGCGCTCATGTACATCGCTGGATTGCGATGGGGCTCAGGTAAGCATTAGGGGGGCTGGGGGGACTGCTGCACACCAAAGGTTTTTAATCTTCATGCATAGAATGCATGAAGGTGAAAAACCTTGAGCCTTTACAACTACTTTAACCACTTGGCAACCGTGCTATAGCCGAATGACAGCTACAGAGCAGTTGTCCAGTTCTGAGAGGGCGTCATATGACATCGTCAACAGTGACGCCCTCCCAGCAGTGCCCCCATCAGTGCCAACCATCAGTGCTGCCCATCAGTGCCACCCAGCAGTGCTGCCAGTCAGTGCCGACAGTCAATGCCACCCATCAGTGCTGCCTATCATTGCCCATCATTGCTACATATCAGTGCCGCCTCATCAGTGCCGCCTATCAGTGCCCATTAGTGCTGCCTATCAATGCCCATCAGTGCTGCCTATCAGTGCAGTCTTGTCAATGCATACAGGTGAAACTCAAAAAAATTAGAATTTCGTGCAAAAGTTTATTTATTTCAGTAATGCAACTTAAAAGGCGAAACTAATATATGAGATAGACTTATGATAT